ATGGAATATTCAACGGCGATCTATGCCACCCCCTCCCCCTTTTCCCCAAAAAAAGGAGAATGTTGAAATATTTGTGTGTTATTTGTGTATTAAACTTTCACTTCTGTCTTATAATCCTTCCGAGATGTTATTCACACCTGGAACGGTTAACGTTTGAGGTTAAAATGCACCAAGGGGAGGATCAAAAGAATAGATTAACAGACAGTCGATCTTTGAATTATTTTGAATTAACCACGCCTCAGGAGGTATTTTCAGAGAATAATACATATTTACACAACTCAAGTGGGGAAGTGATTGCTAGAATTAAAATGTCAGAAAGCGTACATATATTGTCATATATATTTCATATAAAAACATTATAATACGTTCCATTTTTAGCACATTCAACATATACAATAGCAGAAATTTATACCGGCTTTTACCATAGGAATTTTAACTAATGAATATCAAAAAAACTTACACGTCTATGACAAGCCGTTTTTAAATTTATTCTAATTTTCAAGATATCTTATACAGTTAAAAAGATATCTTAATAATTCAAAAAGATCTCTTATTAATTCAAAAAGATCTCTTTTTAATTCAAAAAGATCTCTTTTTAATTCAAAAAGATCTCTTATTAACTATATAAGATATCTTATATATTTTTTCTATTAAAGATATCTTATAAACTTAATAAGATATCTTATAAACTAAATAAGATATTTTTTTAATAAAATAAGATATCTTTTTAGATAAATAAGATATCGTTTTAGATAAATAAGATATTTTTTTAGATAAATAAGATATTTTTTTAGATAAATAAAGATATCTTATAAGATGTCTTGTATTCTTTATAATAGTGCTTTATTCCAAAAGCAAGTTCAGCTTATAGGATATATACAATCTTTGACAAATTAATTATACATGCACTATATCAGTCATACAATCGTAATGTATGACATACATAGAATGTTCAAAATTAGCAGCGTAGTTTCTCAGCTAATTTAAGGTATTTAGGATTGTTTAGTCTTTTCAATATTTGTACAGATAGCAATCTATCAATTTATACGTAGAGGGGTGTCTCCCATAATATTGTTTGGTATATTTTCCCCTAATTTTAACATATTTATTACATTCCAATACAAAATGAAATTCGTCTTCAATGGAACTTGTATTACAAAAAGTACATAATCTATCTTTCCTGTCAATATTATAATATAGTCCTGTCTCTATATACAAATTATGTGCACAAATACGGTATTAACAAATATAAGGTTTATAAACATAATTCACTTGCTTGTCTAAGTAAAATTGTAAAGTATGTGCATAAAAAATATATCCATATAATTGACATATATTTCAGACTTCAAATAAGCATTTGCTTTGCATATAAATGTATCAACCAATCTCTCCTTTAATTGACTCAGAAAAAAATCTACAATATCTATCTTTTTGACTCAACCATACATAGTTGACAAATAGCAAATTTTTTTTTTTTTGTGCGAATAAATTTTTCAACTTTGCCATTTAAGGGGAGATAACACTATTGGTATATTTTGTTAAAGGAATGTTAATGAAATTTTCACTTTTTACTGTAGCTAGAAGACAAGTTCGATGACACCATTTCTTTTTTCTTCTTAAAACATATTATAAAATCTATCTTCTCAAATTTTGTTTCAAAATTCCATCACATAGATTTCTTTTAAATCACAAGAAAGGGTTTTTTTCATGAATGATAAATGCAAGATTGCGCAATTCTAAAGGACCTGTAGCTTGAAAAATAGCACGGTGACCTGTACTTTTTGCTATATTTTTGAAAAAAAGCATATTAAAATCTACATTTTGGCAAAGTATAAGAAAATTCTATCTGAGGGAATGTATACCGATGATCCACCTTAAACGGTCATTTTGATCTTAACATCTTCTGAAAATCAGAAAAATAAACTATTCAGTGATGTTCAGTATTTCAGTTAATTTTCAGACTTATCAACTATGATAAATTCAAAATTGATTAGACAATTCGCTCGCGGTCAATTCAGTTCTGCTCAGTAGCAATTCATACAATAAAGTATGATGTTGACGTGTTCGGGTAAATGACAACTACTGAACAGTCTGAACATAGATTGAAGAGATCTTAATTTACTGCAAGCAAATAGTCTGAACAGTACTGAATTTACCGCAGAGGATAAATCTGAAAATTGGCCGATATATTGAAAATGACTAGCGATTAATTTTTCAGACTTTTTAGAGCTGTAAAGTTCAAAATTACTATTTCAAATCGAAATCAGTTTACTAGTGTAATACATGTCATACGCATACAAAAGATAGAGTGTGTTATATAGGAACGAGAGAGAGTGGTAACTGGAGCAGAATAGAATGCCAGTGGATTGCGAACCACACTCTGTCCACAATATATTGTATATCTGCAATTCATTTGACTTTTCCTAAAGACAGAGAAAGAGAGAAGAAACCAAGGGGCAATTTAAAGTTATACTTCAATAATCACAGACGATACCATAACAAAAATGAAAGACAAAGATAAGACAAACAATAACAAAAAACACAGTACACAGAAAACATTAGATTTAACAACACGAACCCACCAAATCATTTACTGATATCAGTAAGGGAAATAGGGATATTGGGTGATATGCTAAAAACATCTCTGATATTCCTTACTTAACGACATTGCATACAAATGTAATGAGGAATATTGGAATTGAAGATGAAAATAAACAACCACTGGAGAAGGACAATCGAAATTGAAAACTCTGATCAGACTGCAATGAGTTACATTCACAAGGAAAACATCTCTATTTATGTATACATCACCTTACAAATCTAATAAATTCTGTAAAAGCAACTTTTATGACCAGGAACACACCAAACCAAGTAATAATATCACAGTCACGATGATAGACTTTTAAACAGACTGCGACGAGTTATCGTATCTATTTTTGTATACATCACGTGCACCTTACAAATCTTATTAATTCCTAAAAGCAACTTTTATGACCAGGAACGCACCAAACCAAGTAATAATGTCACACTCACGATGATAGACTTTTAAACAGTTTGCTCAGTTTCTGGGTCGATCATATGAAATCGGTCGCTCAAAATAAAATTAAAAGAACATATATTAACTGTTATTTCGTTAAAACCGCCTAAATTTACATGTTGATTTAATTTGGGGCTAAACATTTTGGTTTTTGTAGATTATTTTTTCAAAGCATATCTATCATTGTCAGACATTTGTATATAAATGAATGCGCAATGGAACAGTAAACTTGAATGATGGACAACAGAAAGTGTTTGACAAGCAACTGAATACCAGTCACAATTGTTGTATTCTTTGAAGTATACCTTTATTTTGTCAACTCTTTAAATGATAACGGTTATAAAATAAATTTCAAGTATGTTACGGGCGATGTCGTATTTATGATTTCACCATAATATTTCGTGTGTTTTTAAAATTCTGTAACGTTCACTAATAATAAGGTTACGTGTCCATGAATGTCATATTGCCTATAGATGTTTCATGTAATTCGTCTGAAACTATTATACCTTTAAATATGTCAACCATATTTGATGTGTTGATGGTTTCAAAAAGGAATAACAGTCACGTCCACAAAATAAAAAAAAGCAAGAATCTTGATGGTGTCGGTTTCAGAGATTGTTTTTTGTTTGAATCAGAGCTGCTTTTCACAAAGGAAGATTTTCTCAAACAAGGTATCTATCTATATCCACATTCCTTTATATGATACAAAGTAGAGCTGAGTTACATTTACGATATTTGATCAAAGAGCAAAGATTGCCAGTTTTCTTAACTTCATGTTTAAGCTTTTTTAGTGACTGGAGATATTTGTCCTAATGGCGCACCGATCTCGCTTCGTTTGAGATTTCGTAGATATAATCAATCGTGTCGTATGTTCCATCTTGATTTACGAGTCTGTATCATAAATAAACCAATAAACCCTCTTACTTAGTGATTTGATATTAAGTATATTCATTTTCCGTCGGCTTTCTCAACTCTTGACACAAGTGTTTGGTGATGCACAAATGGAATGAATATTAATCATAAAACAGTCAACCATATTTGATGAGTTGTAAAATATAATCACAGTTTGCCTATTGGTGTTTCATGTAATTCGTCTGAAACTATAATACCTTTAAATGTACATCAGCTCCACTTTGTATCATATAAAGGAATATGGATATAGACAGATACCTTGTTTGAGAAAATCTTACTTTGTGAAAAGCAACTCTGATTCAAACTGATTTTTGTTTTATTGACAGCACATTTGTTTCATTTTGTGGACGTGTCTGTTATTCCTTTTTGAAGCCATCAAAGCTAAAAACGTATGGATAGTTAAAACCATCTTTAAAGGTCAAAACTAATATGGCAAGTTTTCCTCTACAACTCTTGATTAGTCAATACAGAAATTGATCGGAATAATTCCTACGTCCTTCAACAATCCCATTACAACCTCGACCCAAGGACTTGACAATGTTTTATAGTAATTAAAGGGAATGCGGGATAAATGCCAGTTAGCCAACTACTAAACGTGGAAACTCTTTTATCACATATGAAGACAAAATGTTCTGGTTTTTTTTTCAGCGCGACAATCTTTTCAAAAATTGAGTAAAGTTGCACGTAGGGTACTTTTCCTATTGCTATCTCAGGTAGTATGAGAATTACCTACAATGGTGATGATCTCTGAAAATTATAATTTAGATGTATGGATATATATTCAACTAAAGTGTACTAATCTATTTTTTCTGATGTTTATTGGACAATTCCGAGGTTTTCATAGCAATCATATGATCAATTACACTTACTATTCTTAATTGCATAATCACATTTTACAGTGTATGCTGGGCAATAGTGTGGCTAGCAAGTGCTTCAGTCCTCATCTATATCATTATAACTGAGTTAATGAACTACTACAGCTACCCATGGATTTCTGCCACGTACATCCGGTTGGATCAAAAACCTCAATTTCCTGTCGTGACATTGTCAATTTGTAACGGAAATGCATTCGATTTGTCCTTCACATCTTTTACTTTCGACGATGGTTTAGTAAATATCGCGGATGTACCAGTTATTATATATAAAGATTTCATCTTTTACGATACATATACTGATAGATGTACTAGTCGGAGATTTAACACAAATGGCAAGATGTTAACACGTCGGCATGGAAGACGGAATAGTCTGTTAATTGAAACGAGAGCCAAGGAAATACAGGTATTACAAATAAATGAAAGTGTGCCACCAAAATGAGGTAATGCATGATAAAGTGGCATGTTCATAACTATGTATTTAAAGGTAGATTACACTTAATAAATTTTCTGTGGCTTTGAAAACGAGAGAAAGTTTTAAGGAAAATTCTGAACAAAGGGCGACAGCCCTAAGATTAGATGTAGCCGAGGAACTTTCTCGAGTTGAAAGACCATATATAAACTGTGCATTGCTATATTTCTGGGAAATGTCAATTACGAATAACTGAATACTGAGTTAATAATACTCTCGTGGAGTAGCAGTATACCAGCAGCGGAATCTACTCAGTACTATAAACTAAAAATAATGCTTTATAATTGTTGCGTCCAAAGCGCTTTTATGGACTTGCATTCATCAGTAATGTTTAAACCAAAATATGAAAACCAAGACTGTATAAATATTTGTTTTCGGATTTGAGGAGCTATATGAACCGATAGTAAAAAAGCCACATCCTGAATTCTAATTGGATTATCATATTAAATGCGAGTTATTCCCAAACCTTATCACTAGCAACTGGACTTCTTTACTGCTGAAGATAGTTAATAAAAAAAATAAGAAGATGTAGTATGATTGCCAATGAGACAACTCTCCACAAGAGACCAAATGACACCGAAATTATCAACTATAGGTCATCGAACGGCCTTCAACAATGGACAAAACCCTTACCACATAATCAGCTATAAAAGGTCCCGAAATGACACATGTTAAACAATCCAAAAGAGAAAACTAACGGCCTAGTTTATATACAATGTAATGAACGAAAAATAAAAAATAATACACAGCAACAAACGACAACCACTGAAATACAGGCTCCTGAGTTGGGACAGGCACATACAAAGTTGGAGGGGTTAAACTAGTTTGTTGGTGCCAAACCCTCTCCCTACCTGAGACAGTGGTTTATCAGTAATGAATAAGAAGAAACTATAAAAATCAGTTGAAAAAGTTTATTTCTCATTGTCTCGGCTTAACCCTGAGGCCATCCCTACTTTTCAAGGGGATATGTATCATTTTTGTATAAGTTTTATGTGTTGTTTTTCGTGATATTACATTTTGCAATGAATGTGTTGTTTCTATATATAATGATATTTGTATCTATCTTTTGTCATAAAAGTTATTTTCATTTCGGTCATGAATAAAGGTAAGAAATGTACATGGACTATGGTTTACAAATTGAGTAATGTCTAAGGGTAAGGGTAGACAAGAAACATTTTAAATCAGCCCCTGTAAAATGCCTAAATAAAGGCAACAGAAGTATACCGCTGTTTAATAGTCATAGCTCGATTTAACTGAAACATATCCGGGTCACAAACGAAGACCGATAAAAAAACACATCAACTATAAGACGAAAACAACGGAATAACAGAAACACTGAACTGCTACAAAAACAAACGACAACATACATAGAAACGGACTATTTGATAACAACTGCCATATTTCTGATTTGGTAAACATTGGTTATGAATCATGATCATATTGTTACAGAAGTAACTCAGCGGTATCACTGCTGATCCTTCCAGAACACGTGGTTTTTGAAGTGTATTGTTAATTTAATTGGCTCCATCTTCTGATTTCTGTGCGATGTTTAAATGACTGGTGTATGTTTTTGTCTTTTTTTTTAATGGTGATCTCTGTCATGCTGATACTTGTGATCTATATTGCAATGGTGATCTCTGTCATGCTGATACTTGTGATCTATATTGCAATGGTGATCTCTGTCATGCTGGTACTTGTGATCTATATTGCAATGCTGATATCTGTCATGCTGATACTTGTGATCTATATTGCAAAGGTGATCCATGTCATGCTGATACTTGTGATCTATATTGTAATGTTGATCTCTGTCATGCTGACACTTGTGATTTATATTGTACTGGTGATCTCTATCATGCTGTAATTTGTGATCTAAATTGAACTCGTGATCTCTGTAATGCTGACACTTGTGATCTATATTGTAATGGTGATCTTTGTCATGCTGGTACTTGTGATCTAATAACCAATATCTTGTCTTTAATGTTTACTTAATTTGTTCGAGTGTATTCTAGAAATTTAGAACCGAAAACTGTCAATGAAATATATTAAACTGCCCTCTTTCTTTCCATTTGTATCGTTATGCATTACGGAAAATTTACCTTTTCCGGAATTGGTTCGGAATTCGAAGTCGACTGTTTTTGTTTTTGACCAACAGATATAATGCGGATACAGAAACCTTTATTTGAATATGAAATAGATATCAATCAAAAACATCTTCTAAAAAACATTTTGAAGATATTCTGCAGGCACTTGAAAGAAAATATCCCAAAAACATTTTTATGACATTATTTCATGTTCATAATGTTTTTCAAATGTTTTGAAAATATTTTCAGAAAATATTTGTGAAAAGATTATCAAAATGTTTTATACACTATTTATTTTCACTTTATCATGATATTTCTTGAAAAAATTTTAATGATATTATGCCAATATTTTAGGAAATATATTTGAAAATGTTTTTGCGATATTTTTCAAACCATTCACTTTAATGTTTTTAAGACATTTTATTGTGATATTTTCATGACATTTAACATAACATTTTTATAACATTTTAAAAATACTTTTGTGTTTGCTGGGTATAACTTTTTTGTGCTTCAATACAAAATATTATTTTAAATATATTAGCATTTGACGGGGGAATGTCTGTGGATTTTTTATACGAAATCTAAGGAAGAAAATGTAAAAGAAATGATTAATTGAAAAATGTTTTTTAGAAGTGTTTTTTTAAAACTCTTGTTTTGAAAAAAAAATAATGGTTAAAAGTGCATTGATAGGCCCAAAAATTCTTCACTTTTGTCGAAGTTCAAAAACAAAATTGGTCATACCAGAGGAAAATTTGAAGTTGAGATTATCCACTGCGTTTCCATCCGTCCTTTATAGAACAATAGTTGCAGCCTCTTTTAGTGGTCATTGTTCCGCTGGCTCTTACATGAGTACCTATACATTTTCTTTTTCAATATATATTAGATTGCTGTTCATAATCCTGAAGAGGAGCCAGACATGTATACAGACGGTATCACTGTTGGACAAGACACTGAAACATTTATAGAAGTGCACAGGAGAGAGGTGGGCTTTTTGATTTGTATTTAAATCGAAATAATATTTGATTTTAGAAACAGAGCTTCATTCTGATATATTCTGATCAATTCGCAATTCAAATATTATCGCGCCTATGGTAATTTATAATTATAAAATGTCTTACTATATTTCTGAAAAAAAAAACCCAAATATTATATTTTTTTTAAGTTATATTGTCATTAAGGAGGCTTGAGGGTACAAAAAATTTCAGCAAAATTTTAAACATTTTTTTTTTCATTACAATTTTTTTTAGTACACTAAGTCTTTTAGTTGTTACTTTATGATAAGGTACAAAAATCAACCAAAAAAATCGATTCGTTTTGGCCTCAGATGACTTTTAAAATGTTATATCATTGAAAAAGCTCCAAATTGTCTCCCTTTGGGGGAAAAAGGGCATTTTTTTTTTGCATTAAAATTGAAATATCTTTTTTAACTCATCGGTGACCTATATTTTTTATTATTTTTTTCAAATCAGCTGTACTTAAACTAAACAATTGTAAAATTTAAGCGATTTCTGTAATTTAGTTTTTTTTATTTCGATATTACCTCTACTTCTATTAGTTCAACAGAAAAAAGTACCTTAACAAAAATGCATGCTTCTTTCGAAGGCAGATTGTGAGCTTAAATGAACGGTGACCCCATTTTTTTATTTTTATTTTTCTATTCTGTATATGATAAAGTTCATTTATAGAAACAAATAGCGAAATCCTATATTTAAAAAAAATGGATTTATACCCTCGAGCCCCCTAAAGATAAAAATACCAAGAAAAGAAATGAGTTTTTGAGGAATTTCAATTGGATCATTTTCTTAATCATGCTAATCGTTAACACTGACATTTCTTCTGTTTTTATAATCCATATATTCTATGTATTGAAAGGGTAATACGTCAATAAGGCAGTAACCCAGCCAAAAGAACATACTTTAGTAATCTCTTCCTTTAAATCTGTTTCTCAATTCATCTCATATAGCATGTAGTATGTTTGTTTTCCTATTGATTTCCCTCTCTCCGTTAATTAAACAATTTACGACATGAGAGTTGAGCCAGTTGTTTTCTTAGTTAATACATAATGAAATGTTAAATATGTGTCAATGCCTTAAATAGAAGTTTGCTTAATAATGTTTCCTTTTGTGGCGTTTATGCTAAGGAAAGAAGTATGTGCATTAAACACTTGAATTTGAGTAAAGGGGGTGCGAGCTAGAAATTCTAAAGAATTGACTGCTTTCTGATTTTTGTCTATTGGGCGTATTTAATCCGTCATCTGTATTTATATCGTGGAATATTCAAATGCAATATGCTTTGATTGTTTATTTCGTACACTTGAAAATATCGCATAGTCCTTTTGGTTGTTAAGAACATCAAACAATTGTTATATCAAATAATATATGAAAACCAACTTTTTTTCTGAAGTATTTTATGACTTTTTAGTAAAACATATTACTGCTGTTTAGATGCTGTTTAAGATACATTTGAATAAAAGACAAAATCCATGTTCTGCAATGTAAGCCCCGTTCCATTTTAAATAATGTTTGCTCAAACTGAAACGCAGTAAGAAGAACATTATGACAACTAAAACGGACATTGTTTTATAAAGATTATTTCTTCGATTTCGTAAAAGCTAAAATTTTGCCAAAACATAAACTTTCCCCAAAACGTGATGGTCTTTTCATGGAGAGGATCTAACTTTCGAAAACATTTGAAAGAATCAATATTTGTGATCAAAATAGTTCATCTTCTAAGACAAGATGCAACACACAATTATTTTTTTTTACTGACAAAAATAAAACAGAATTCTAAGTGTTTCGATCAGAAGAAGTATTTTTTCTTTCTTTTATTGATGGTTTATGCATGAAGCAACTGCACTCTCCAAACATAATGAGGTAATTGAAGGCATCTGGTAAAATGATAGCCCTGTGTTTTAATGTTTATTTTTATTATTCGATATCTCGCATGTTTGAATTTCAAAAAGATCGGCCGAGGGAAGACAATTCTAATAACATTGGAACTGTTTTTAATATATAATATACAAAAAACAAAGGAATTTCGACGTGTGAAATTTGCAGACTATACAATGGTTGTACACAATTGGTTACTTCTTTGCATCTAAATGCCTAGCATGAATATTTGTAACGTCACAAAGTTCAGGTATATTCCACTCTTGGGAGAATTTGGAAATTCAAAAGTGCATCTAAAATGCAGTTGCAAATAAGTGCGAATAGAGTTGAATTTATACCTGGAAGAGGAAGTATGCAAATGCGAAAAGAACCTGAACAATCGAAACAGTATCTCTTTAAGTTTTATTCACGGGTTTTCCGGATCAAAATCAGCAAATTCGTTCTTGTAATTTTATAAATATTTACATGGTATAATATGTCTTCGTAGCAATACGAAAAGTATGATGTTGTTTTTTTATATTACAATATCAAGCTCGAAAGACTCAAGTAAAAAGTACCGATTTTGTTTTGTATATTTCAAATATATCTCTACCGATGTTATGTTGTATTGTATGTTGCAAAGGATATCAATACCGAATCAGATGTTGTTGTTTTTGTTTTATAGTATATAGCTTTACCAAGTCCATTCATATCTAATGGGAATCAGAAGTGTAGAGAAAACTCAGATTACAGCTTTTTTGATTGTAAACGTAAATGTTGGAACGCATTATTGGTGAAACAGTGTGGTTGCACTATGAACCGTTCAGGTATTGTTTTTTCTGCCGTTTAAAAATAATTCATTGAAAAAGAGACATATCATACATGATAATAAGAAAACATTGATAGGAAAACATAATAAAAATCATAACACATTTGCAAATTAGACCGACGAGCTATTGGTAAATTCTAAAAACTATTTTCGTAAGAATTGTTAAAACAAACAAAAATTGAATTCGAAAGTTTTAAATATTGAAGAACAATATTAATCAATCTGAATTAACACAAAGGACGATAAATCCAACTTGGCAACAATTGTGTGATATTCAAGAAATTCCTACGTACTATACTATTACAATATCGAAAATGCTCAAAACTAGCCAAAACGAAGTACTTACGAAAAATAAATCACAAGATAATACATGCTCAAATGTAAACAAAAGAAAATATTAATTACTTCAGTTTTGACAACAAAGAAAAATTTTGATACAAGTTAACGTTTTAAGTGTTATTAATTTTTACCATGCCAGAATGACAGGAAAAACAATTTGTTTGTTTTAAAATTAATAAGAAAATATCTGTTTTGAAAAATTATGTATAATCACCATTTATATAAAGCATTAGAAAATATTTCTTTTACTGGGCCTACATTGTCATTCTTTACCTTATTTCACACTATACTTTTTATCTTTTTGTTGACTTTTTACTCTATTTTCTTATTAGGGAACGGAACATATTGCTTCGATATAATAGATGACGAAGTTTGTGCCTATCTTCTATGGACTGATTGTAAGTGTTAATTCTTTATTCTTTAAGTAAATCGTCAAAAAAATATAATAGACATATTTACACTTTTTGGAGATTTGCAAGCATGTTAGACAACTGCAGGATATTAATATGATTTCACAACTGATATGTTAATTTAAAGTGAAGATACCAAGGGGCAATAAAAAAAACAGAAGTCGATAAAAAAAATCCAGACAGTTCCGATCATCACTCAGGAATTTCCTGACATATTTATACTGGGCGCCATGGAATCATCCATCGAGATGGCCTTCGAAGACTGCCGATGATCACATAACCCGATATAAACATAAATATAAATATAAATAGACAAACAAGCACGTGCAATGGTATAATGACGATTTTTTCAGGTTTGTTTGATTTCTGTTATTGTTTAGAAATATATGAAAATCATCGAAAATATTCTTTTGTTGGTCGGATCAGTCAACGAAATGGTTATTCCTAGTGGCTCTTTTGTTTCACTTTTCAATGTTGATATTCTTATCTTTTCACTGAATAAAAACGCTGACCATATGCTGAAGATATGCGCAACCCGTCTCCATTAAGGTTCAAATAAAATGTTTGGTGAATGCGAACCCCATCAAAAAAAGACTGCTCATTGCTGGTCTTATTTCAATATTTCGCTTTTATAAATATTTGAAACAAAAAATAACAGCATTCTTTATTTTTGTCGAATTCGAAGCTAATGCCCAGTTAAACTAAATATCCAACTTGCACTATTCATTACACAATCAAATATATATAGGATGCAAATAAAAAAATAAAATAGTATGGACGATTTGAATCTGTATGTTTTGTTGCTTTTTTAAAGAGATAATTTAATTGAGATGTCACTTTAAAGTAAATAATATGTATTTCTCCTTTGTTTGCGATTGTTATAAAACAAATTTATTTTGTTTGGTATTTTTCTTTTCTTTTCAATGGTATTGTTCTTCTTTTTTCTTTTTTTAATAACTTTGTACTTGCAATATAAAATGACAAAACATATTTAAAAATCAAACCTCAAAAAGATGAAAGCTGCAAAGAATTTTCAAACTGATATACAAATAAGGAGATGAGACAATTATCCGCCAAAGTTCAAACAAAGTGGATGTAAGCAATTTTAGGCAACCGTACGGACTTCAACAATGAGAAAACCTCATACTGTATAGTCGGCTATAAAGGCCCCGACATGAAAAATATGAAACATTTCAATTGGGAAAACAAACGGCCTAATTCATAACATAACAATTTACGAAAAACACATATCACAGACAAGAACCAACGACAACCATTGAACTACAGGCTCCTGACTTGGGACATGCACATAAAGAAGGTGTCGGCGTTAAACATGTTTGTGACAGCTCAACCCTGCCCCTAACTTGGGACAGTGTTACAGCACAACATAAGCACAAACTATAAAAATCAGTTGAAAAAGGTTTAACTCATCATATCGATACAAAGCAGAAAAACATCAAGCAAAAAATCGACCGGACATGGCAGGGTATATATCCATCCCTCGGTCCTCATCCTTAACAACAAAAAACACACGAAGTACATATATGAGAGTTGAATAGCGGTATGCGCAAAAGTCCTAACTTGAAGTCAAATTTGCATGTCTACACGAATTTGAAAGTCAAATTTGAAAGTCTACATGCATTTGAAAGTCAAATTTGAATGTCTATATGAGCTTGAAAGTCAAATTTGAATATCTACATGAACTTGAAAGTCAAATTTGAATGTCTACATGAATTTGAAAATACAAAATTGAGTTATGGGTAATTTAAACCGAAAAACCGATAAAAAAAATGTTTAACACTTAAATATTGATTTATTAAACTTACTGCTACAGCTTTAACCGTAAGGTACCCTGATAAGTAAATATCTATAAGAACATGGTTTCATATAGATAAGTATCAATTTCTTATATTTCATGTTATAATAATACAATAAAATACAATGTTCAATAATAATACAGTACACTAATCCCAAATTAGTTATCTTATGTCCCTTCATCTCATTTATCAATTGCATGATTTAAGGTGGTACCTAACACTACAGGGAGATAACTCTGTAAAATCAGCTAAACGTTTTAATTACGTTGTATTGTTAAGGAAATATTAAGCTTCTCAATGATTAAAATTAGTGTTTGTCAAACTGCTATATATCCAATGAAATTTTTCCGAGAAAGTGATTGGTTCAAGTTTTTCGAAATTTTTATATTTTTTTCAAAGGGTCAAAGTAAATATTTTGTCAAAATTTTATGAAAATTAAACGAGCCAAATTAATTTTAGTCAAGGTGTTGGGTACCACATTAAGTGTGTGTAATATCGATTTATCTTGATCGGATATAAGATTTCAAATGTTTACTTTCAAAGTTTACGTACACAGATCGAATATTGAAATGGAATGTGCGAATGATTTTGAAAAAAAAAATAATGTAGAAAATAAATAATCAAACCTAATATGCTATAATTGAATATAAATTAAAAATTTTGAAATGATATGTGCAAAAGCTAAGCATTTAAAGTGAATTGTTGTACGAATTGAAAACAAACTAATGTTTAAAAAGAAAAAAAAAAAATGAACTGAAAACCCACTTGAAGATCAAACGTAATGGATCGTTATATTATAAATTTCTTTGAAATATTAATTAAGGACTGTTACATTCCATGTTCAATTAGGTAAAAGAATGGATAAAAGAAACATGATCTTTGAATTTTACATTTATTCAACAATATAACGCTTACTTTACAGTACGAAACAAAGAGCCGTCATCAATATGTGCATGTCCTCCGGAATGCAAGGTCATTACGTATGACGTGGTAGTATCATCCACAGCGAAGAAGTAAGCATTATTATTACTTAGGTAGTAACAGTAGTTCTTTGGGTCAAAATAAAACCACTTTGAAAATCAGTGGCTGTTGTAAGGAAATGGATAAGAAGGCTGTTTGTTTTTATAAAAAATAATGAGTTTCGTGAATAAGACGAAGCAAAATGTCTATATGCCCTAAAGGCGACAAAATATGTTGTACATAATAGTAAACCTGAAACACTGCTCAACACATATATAATGGTATTTTTTTCGTTTTCTGCAGGGAGACAGATACCAGGTGCTTTAAGACGAACGTAATTTCGCTCTACATCAATACACATTTATTAAATACGTACATGAGACAATATTGAACAATTTCTATTTGACAAAATCATTAACTTGGGCTTTCTCTCGAACATATATTTGATATCACTTCAGCCCTTGATTATACAACATGCATTTAGATAGCAATGAAATCAGCATGTTTTCGTTATCCACATTCAACAATGTCTTACTGTTCACAATATATATACATATTACTTTTCAGCTTATGTATGTGAAAGGTTTAAAATTTTCGAAGACGGACTCAAATCAATGGCTCGATAATTACGAGCACAAACATGCTTAATTAAAGCATTATTGAATATACAACTAAAACGATGCATTATTTCATACGTAATGTCGGATTTTTATAAAAGACTTGATCTATGTTAAAACTTTTTTTTGCATTGTAAAGATATTTGTAAAAATTAGAAAAAATTACCTACAGCAAAATATGCACTTTTACAATTATATTGTTGTCTTATTCTAATAGATTTTAAAAATTTCAAGTTGAAACAAAATCATTTACTTTTAAGATACGAAGACTATGTTCCCAATATGATGATTCGGGTATTTCTGAAAGATTTTTCAACAACAGTTACCGAACAGGTTCCTAAATACGACGGTGTTACGTCATTATTAGGTAAACATATTTTCTTTTTTCAGTTTAACAGATCGTTCGTCTTAATTGGACGGTAATGTCTACGGTCCACCATGACTGTAAAGTCGTGTTGCCCTTTTTTGACTTCTTAAATAATCCGCAACTAACCCCAGGGTGTCACATGATTAGCAAAAATTGGTTGCAATTCTACAAAAGCATGTACCTATTTTTTTTAAAGTAGAGTTCATGGATGAACACATTTTATGAAATATTGCAAAGTTGGAATTGACTATTGTTTTTTGTTATTTATTTTTGTTATTTTGTAGGTTCTTATACATCAAAATTTCAATATATTGAGAGACAAAATGATGTAATAAATAAAAGATAATGTCAAGCTATCAAACAAATATCGGTTATTTAAACGTTTGTTTTGATTGTGAATTGTCACAATGAGATTGACAGGAAAATTATTTCATTATTTGGCAGATTTCTTAGTTCTTTATAGTCTATCTTTTGTTGATATTTACCAGCATCTATGCTCGTCAATGCACATATGTAATGTGATCTACATCTTCCAAACAATTCCACTTAAACCGATGGCAGGGTCTGTTCTGAACTTGCAGTCAGGTGTTACAGTCAGGTGTTACATTTTGCTCCGTGTTGAAGGCCTCAATTTACCTTTAAGAACAGCAATAAAAACGCTATTCCTTTGTTTTTGGTTTTGTCAGGTGTGTGTGGGCGAGTTTCTTTCATGAATTTCAAAATGCGCGTCCGGTACAGTAAAATTGGTTCCGTTAATGTTATTGTGACACCATATTGCTTCTTTTTCATTTCAACAACTAGATAAAATTGAGAATGGAAATGGGAAATGTGTCAAAGAGACAACAACCCTACCAAAGAGCAGAAAACAGCCCAAGGCCACCAATGGGTCTTCAACACAGCGAGAAAATCCCGCACCCGGAGGCGGGCTTCAGCTGGCCCCTTAACAAAAATGTGTACTAGTTCAATGAAAATGGACGTCCACTAAACTCTGAAACATATAAATGAACTAAAATTAAAAAAAACATACAAGACTAACAAAGGCCAGAGGCTCCTGACTTGGGACAGGCGCAAAAATACGGCGGGTTAAACATGTTTTGTGAGATCTCAACTCTCCCCCTATTCCTCTAGCCAATGTAGAATAAACAAACACACAGCAATACGTACCGTAAAACTCAGTTTGTCTGTCAACAATTGAATAAACCAACTTAATTTCCAGTGTTTCGTTTATTCAGCCTGGCAACTAATCAAAACCAAGATGACGTCAATCAGACTATCCACCCTAATTCTGATTGAAAATTGCTCAACTATTGAAATCTAAGTGTTTTGATAGGTAAATCTCCTAAGAAGTACCATATTGTCCAATCAAAGCCGGTATTTCAAATTGGTCTAGCATCCCCCCATCCAAATAAAAAAGGAATTCATTATTTGTATGAAGTTTCAATAGTCCATTTTTCTTTTACTCAATAATCATACAGATTAAAAGTAATTTAATAATGTTTTTACACCTTTATGTATAAACTGTATATTCTAAAACGTATGCACATTTTCATAATGTATACTGCAAAAAAGTAAGGGTTGCAATTCCCTCTGGCAATGTTGACTTGTAGAAGACGTTTTTTGCTTCACCAGTTTGGTTTGAATGCTCTACAAACATTTGATATATGACATATTTGACTTTCAAACTATTGGTTTTAATCGTACCTTGTGGGGCTCGTGTGCACAGAAATCAGTATCACATATTTGACCTTCCAACTGTTGGTTTCGAGTGTACCTGGTGAGGGTCGTACACACGGAAATCAGTATTATAATTCTTTTTTTTCAATATTCAACGAGGAAATGGGTTTGACGTTGTATAACTAAATTGCCTAGATTTACGTTTAAAAAACAATAGTGTGTCGACCTATTTTTATGTCAATTGATATTAATAGCAATCAATCTAATTTCATATAATTAAAAATTTATTTCAAATACGATTGACTCAATCAAACATCTTATAATTATAGGTCATTCGAATTATGTTGAATCAATTTATTAAATTGTATGTATTTCACACTTGACACATCGGGATTGACACAAATGTGTAACCAGATCAGCTCAAACCTTTTTAATACAATGGTTCTTTTAAGATATAGTCAGAACATTAGATGTCGAACGACACTTACCTTACCGTAGCTTTGTAATATACAATAGATATTTGCGCAAAAAGCAAATAACCAAATAGAAACAATTAGGTACTGAGAAAAATCCTGTTTAATTCATATAAAAATTTCAAAAATGCGAGTTTAAATTATTGCGATTATAACCCTGTCGCATTTTTCGCAATAATAAAAACATCGCAATGATTTCTAAATTTACAGTATTATAAATAAACTCATAATAGATACCAGGATTGTAATTTGTATTTGCGCCAGACGCGCGTTTCGTCTACAAAAGACTCATCGGTTACGCTTGAATCTAAAATAGTTAAAACTGCCAAATAAAGTACGAATTCGAGTTGAAGAGCATTGAGGACCAAAAATGCCTAAACGTTTTGCCAAATACAGCTAAGGTAATCTATTCCTGAGGTAGAAAAGCCTTAGTATTTCAAGGTTTTGTAAACAGTTAATTTATAATTATGACCATATCAATGATAATTCATGTCAACACAGAAGTGCTAACTACTAAAACAGTGTTCCCTTTTAAGATATCTTGGCCAATGGACACGTTGTCTATTCACTTAGTTAGCGTCTATCTGTCGACCACATATTGTGATCACTTCGGCCTCCTCAAGAACCATAACGCAGGTGTCATAAAAAGGATAAGAAGATACTAAAGAGTTAAGCAACAAAAATACCGAACTCCAAGGAAAATTGAAAACGGCAAGTCCCTTAACAATTGGCAAAATCAATAGCTCAAACACATCAAACGAATTGAAAACACTGTCATATTCCTGACTTGGTACAGGCATTTTCGTATGTAGAAAATGGTGGATTAAACCTGTTTAAAAGCTAGTTAAACCTCTCACTTGTATGACAGTCGCATACAATTCCATTATATTGACAACAATGCGTGAACAAAACAAACAGACATAATAGGTAAAAATGACAAAAATAGGGGTACAGCCGTCAACATTGTGCTATAATCTCAATCATATTATAAAAACAAACAAATATGTCAACTAAGAAAAACAAAATGGCATATGCAATAAGCATATAACATTGAAATACAAGATTACTAAAAATGACAACAGCACAACAACACAATTGTGGGATGTACAAGTACCGAGCCACGTCCAAAGAATACTACCAAAAATGGACCAAATAGTAAACTTTACAAAGACAAATAAAAGAACACTATGACACGTAATTAAGATGATAAGCAACGTCAGTACCTAGAATCTATACATCAAGACCATCAGGTATTATTTGTGAAGTTAATACGGAATATTTATCAACAAGGTCTTGGTATCTTCCGATGAACTTTTTTAGAAAAAGGACGAGACGTTCTTTGACATAACCCTGGTTCATCAACTTTTGGCTCAGACACTGGTGACGTTTTACAAAGTCTGAGTAGCAGCTGCAAGCTCTTGAATATCGAATGAGTTGGAAAATTTATATCTCTAATGCAGGTGAAGTTGGTATATTGCTACTAAGGTGGGGAAAATTGATAATTTCAAATTTAAAATCGTCTCGTTTGTCATAGATTCTGGTACTGATATGACCGCTGATGTCAAATTGGAGGTATAAGTCTAAAATGAGGCGGAGGAAGCCGTGTATGCTGTTTCTTTAATTTCTAGTTCTAGATGATATATTAAAGGAACCCCATCAGAAAAGTTTGGATTGTTTATGGAAAGAACATCATCAATATATCTGAATGTGAAATTAAATGATCTGGCCTCTTTTGGTCTTCTTGTTTTTGACAAGTGTCTGAAGGAACTCCGACTTATATGAAAATAAGAAGAGGTCGGCAAGGAGAGGCGCACAGTTCGTTATCATAGGAATGCCGACAATTTGTTGAAAAAATGTCTACCTCCTAATTCAACAAATATGCTGTCAATACGAAACTCAAGCATACTGATCACTTAAATTTGTTCCTCTGTTTAGAATGTTTACCTTTTTGTTCACTATTAACAAAATGTGCCGTATGGTATCCCAAAGAAATAAATGTATAGCGTATGCTACCATTTTTATATTGAAAAGCATTGTGGATTATTTCTTGTAGACGATTTTTGAATTTCACATGGGGAATGGTGGTATACAGGGTTGAAAAATCAAAAGTTTTGATAGAATTAATTTCAGAGAAAGATCGAGATTTAAAATTATCCAGAAGTTCTTTAGAGTTTTTTAGAATCCACATATTTTTAATACCACTACGCGAGTAAACAGTTTCACAGTATTTCTGAAGACCCTCTTTAACTGAGGACAGAATTTTTGTCAATATAACGGACAATTCTTTTGTAGAACATGCAGATGAGCCGGCAATGTGCCGTTGTTTGTCCGGAAATTTGGGAAGCTTAGGTATCCAATACAAACAAAGTAAGTCCTCAGATTTGCTGTTCGATGTAATGTTCAGTGAAGCCATGAAGGACTTAAGATTCGCCAAAATCTCATCAAGAGGCGATCAAAAACCATAATTTGTAAAATACAAACAACACTATGGCAAAAATAACCAACATGACAAACAAACAAGCAGCAGCCAAAATAAAGTAAAAATATATCTCATGTATTAATTATATAGATTGTTTAAGCAGGTATTCCCCATTGAATTGAATAGACGTATATTTCTTTTTGCAGCGAATCTTGGGGGACAGATGGGATTATTTCTTGGTGCAAGTATCCTTACCATAACAGAGCTGTTGGAATTCATTATATTCATTATGTTGTCGCTTATTCAACGTCGACCAAAAAGAAATGTTGTTCAAAATGTAGCTTAAAGATATACCTTTGGATCAAGCCAATAAGGATTTGCTGTTATTTATTGACTTTAAGGGTGTAGTTAGGTGAAATTAAAACAAACTAAAATTTAAAATTGATACTTTAAGTCAGAGATGCAATAGTTAAGGAACAAAATAAACCAAAAATATTGATAAGTTATGGAACTCCTTTTTGCGATATTTGATTTTTTTTTAAATGACGGGAAAAGACTGACTCGGACTTTTACCTTATATTTAGCTTTGGCATTAATTGGGTCTCAAATCGTAAGAAAAAAAATCTTGAATCTGCTTAAATTTTGGTTTTGACCTTTTTATGAGCTGTTGATGTCTTCTATGAAAAGAAAACAGGGCGATATGGGGCAAAACATTTTACCCTGCATCGTAGGGAAAAAACCCAAAGGAGACCGAACATCTGACAAAAATTCCTAAACCTGACCTGACTACATCCTTAATTCTTAATTATGCTTTATTTGTTGGCAATATTGACAATGCAAATTATACTCACATAGGTAAAAATATGAAAAACATTGCTGGATTTCCCTCAAAGAAAGAAATCAAAAAGCAATAAGAACTTAAATTGTTTTAAATCACGAAATCAATTTTACCGCATCAGTTGAACATTTTGACAAATAATTACTCTACAGTGATGGAAGAGGCCAACATATTTGAAAATCCAAAAACTAATGCAAACGATAAGGAGCTGATATAACCGAAACAGATTAAAAATATAGTCAAAGGAAAATGAATCCGAGCTATGCATGTGGAGATACAATATTCAATTTTAAACGATTCCCTAAGTTTTAAACTTTATAAAAACAATATTCGTGTTTTCACGCAAGCACCAGATTACTGAGTCACTGGTGTAGTGATTCCCTATGAGACTTACAGTCCAACAACAGACGTATCAACCCTGTAGTAATATTAACATCAAACGGTGCATGTACCACTTTTACTGCACCAGATGAGCATTTCAACAAAAAAATGCCGCTTCAGTGATGCTCGAAGCAATATTTGGACAAAAAAATAAAACTAATAAATTACCAAAATAAGCAATAATTAAATCCTTTTTAAGATACTGATAATTATTTAAATCAACCTGTAGTCGAAGAAAGAACGGTCAACAGATTGAAATCGTTTGTCAAGATTAAAGAGACAAAACACAGATAATATTGTTCTTTCCAGCCTCTGTATATGTGGACAAGTTGAGAGCAGCAAACACTATCTGCTAGAATGTCATAATTATAGACTCATTATGACACAAACCATTTCCACACTACCAAGATATGTTAATATACAAACATTATTATCAGGTAGTGAACTGATCAGTGATGAAAAAACGAAAGTATTTTTAAAGTTGTACAAAGTTTTATTTTGGAAACAGGAAGATTTGGTTCATAAACTTTTATTTCTATGTCGAATTAGATGTTGAAACTTTATAATTTACTTTATTTTTTTGAAACATTTACATATTTTCACAGCTACATGTGAGACCACAATTAGAAATGAGTTGATCACATTTTTCGATCAAACTGACTTCTGAGTAATGGGCAAACCACAGAATAAACATGTAATGTAAATTGAAAATTGTATTATAGCGGGTTTCTTTACACTATGTTATTAATGTTGTCATTCTGTTAAGGGAGACGGATTTATATAAACTCTTTTTGATTCTATTGTAAAATTGTAATTTGTGCACTTTTGAAAAATAAAAATATTGATTAAAATAAACACAGATAAACGTAATCATTTTTAAAGAGACCAAAAATGGAAACACATATCAACAATATTAACCGAAACAAAAATGTTGATTACTTTTTCTTTAAGATATTTTAACAGAACTTGCCCAACTTCTAATTATTGTATTTTTCTTACTCTGATATTATCATATTTCTTTCATAATTTCGTCTAAAGAATTTAGAATTGAGGAGACCGGTTTTTATTTAGATCCATATAGATTCTTTAGTGAAACAATGAGTTCTGTCTTGCGATATTCATTCTGAATTGTTTTTATTGTATAATCAATATACAGAACTTCAGTGTAATGTAGTGGGGGAAACCGGAATCATATCTACAACCTGATCTATATGTTCATAATGGACCTGACCGTAATCGAAGATCACACAGTATACCAAACTCCGTACAGTGATCGTTTCCGTTCCGGAACTATTTTCCTTTGCTCAATTTTTAGAGTAGTATTCGGATCGGAGCTGGAACTGCCGGGGAGTTTGACAGTATACGTATCATTTAAATAAAAGGCGACATTATGATTCTTTTGTCACTCTATCATATTTTTTTTAGATCTTCAATAACAGCGGAAGACCTAATTTTCTATGTAAACTGATTTCTATTTTTATTCTCCGTTAAATTCCATCTTTTCAGATTACCATAATTATATATCCTCGTCTCATGGGTTTTCGTGCTATTAAGAATGCATTGTGACGTCACAAGTCCCATTGAAAAAGCATAGTATGAATTCATATGACGTACGAAAACATGATCTGACCATATCCTTTTTCATTCCCCTTTACGGAGTGAACTCAAATTATCAGAGGTTTTGTTATCATAAGATTTCACCTCATAAAGACGAGCCAGAAGTCCACAAACGTAATATTAAATACAAATATGTCAATTATGGATTTGGTTTTATCAATTTACCCCCGTGTATATTCAGTAATTGTTATGTTCAATACGTTTTGCCTTAATACTTATGATTCTGAATCACTTAAAAAAGCATAACAGAAATATAATTTTTAACTATACCATCTATTGATTTCGACGTTGATAATGAAAATAGTCCTGATTCGAGGTTTAAATATGGTTCTTGTTGCCATGCTGTTACAGGTGAAAGTTATCTTCTCCAATGCGGAGATGTTATGATTATTCTAGAGAAGGGACCGAAATAACTTCTCCCTTCTTAAATCCACTGGAAGGACTTTCGTAAAGTCATTAGCAACTCTATTTTTTCTTAGTGCAAATTTTGATGTAGAAGAGAGAAAGCTGATAAAAATGATTGGAATCTTTCATAAAAAAAATGCATAAATCATTTGGAAATCGCTTGAAACAATTCTAAAATAATGTTTTACAAAATCGTTCTTGGAAGGTCAGTTTGTCTCCATTGACAGTTAGGATTTATTTACTCCATGTACTCTGTACACTACATTACCACATAATTTTATAAAGCATAGCTTTTCCTATTTGGTGGAATGGTCGTTCAACATATCTTAGTGTAAATATATATGTTGAAACTGTTACAATTCTTTTTTCAGTAATAAACTTATAAATATTCAATCATTAGTCATACAAAGAAATGATTCGAGATGTTGATTTTTCACCTGATAATATTTCTGTTCGCTTTGGAGGTGAAGTGATTGGTATTCCGATGGAGACTAGCTATTATGAATTAAATTCATGGGTAAGATAATTAAGGATGTTCGCTACTCTTGTTTTCGACTTTTTTGTCATCTAGTTTTATCCATGTAGTGCCAATAAAAAAAAATTCCCACTAACCCTTACTTTTCTGTTTAAAATTTTAATGCATTTAGTTTAACAAGCCATTTATGAAAATCTTATTAAATCCTTGTTATTTTTTCATAGTTGTTGAAAGAAAAAAGTGTCAATGTTAAATGTAAGAAAAATCTAGAGATAATTATTTCCCGCCAAATGTTCAATTGATTATATCTCGAAAAGAAGGTCGCGGACCTATCATTTTTATGTGCTATTTAATTTTTGTTATATATATATACTATCAATTTATAACAGTCATTTAAAAAGCTTGTTATTTTTAAACAGAGGAGCGAACATCCTTCACGCTACTAACATTGATTTTGTTTTGATAAAATTTAAAGCATATCTACGTATGTATTGCTTTACAGTTAAGAACTGTAATGGTCCTACACCATGTCGATATTCTGGCATTGCATAAGGTCATGCTTTTATCAGACTGTTTATGACGACTTTACACTTAATCAGATGGATGGGGCTGATTGAATTATAATCTGAAAAAACATGGTTGTCGTTTCTTTATGTGTTACATATTTGTTTTTCGTTCATTTTTTGTACTTAAATTAGGCCGTTAGTTTTCTCGTTTTAATTGTTTTACATTGTCATTTCGGGGCCTTTTATAGCTGAATGTTCGGTATGGGCTTTGCTCATTGTAGAAGGCCGTACGGTGACCTATAGTTGTTAATTTCTGTGTCATTTGGTCTCTTGTGGAGAGATGTCTCATTGGCAATCATACCACGTCTTCTTTTTAATATTTGTTAGTTGAAATTGGCTTTGAACTAGCTTTTGGTAACTGTGAGGACTCTTAGATCAGTACATTGTGTCTTTTGTCTTTGTGCTAGTTGTTTTTGCTTCATCCTGATCTGTAATTTAAGCCCTTTCCAATTAATTTTTATAGTTTGTTCGTATTTTTTGTTATGATACAACTGTCTTGGTTAAGGGGGAAGGTTGAGCTCTCACAAAAATGTTTAGCCCCGCAAAATTCTTTATGTGATTGTCCAAAGTCAGAACCCTGTAAATCAGTAGTTGTCTGTGGTTGTTGATTGCATACTTGTTTCTCGTTTGTTTTTAGCATAACTCAGGCCGTAGGTTTTCTCGTTTGAATTGTTTCACATTTTATCATGCATAAAGTTGTTGACATCCTCGGCCTTTGTCCCTGCTGGATAGTTGTCTCATTCAGCAGTGGCGGATCCAGAACTTTTTATAAAGGGGGGGGGGGGGCGCTGACTGACCTAAGGGGGGCCCCGCTCCAGTCATGCTTCAGTGATTTCCTATATAATCAACCAAATTTTTCCCACAAAAGGGGAGGGGGCGGGCCCCCTACCCCCGCCTGGATCCGCCTATGCATTGGCAATCATACAACATATTCTTATTTGTATACTGCAGATACTTAGATGAAATATTATTTGTAAACAACCCAGATTGTTTTAAATATATGCAAATGACATTTAATTATCCACTTCAACTCGCTCTTTAACAATACACATATGTTGATACAGACAGATGGCATCTTTATAACTTGTATCTTAGAATGATGACAAGTATTGTAAATTGAGAAATTATTGCGGTGTTTTTATAGTTGCGAATTATGCGACTGAATGACTATCGCAATAATTAGAACTCGCATTCTTATATCTAATACATATAACTGTATGCAGATTTTCCTGAAATCGCAATAGTTAATCTCTCATTTAAGTCCATTCTACAAAATTCGCTATAATAAATGCACGCAATAATTTCTGAACTTACAGTAGGCTAAACCGCAATGAGACAGCAACCTCTTGACACAAATAATCAAACGACACCTAGCGGTCAACATGAAGTTTACAACAATAAACAGGTATCCATCTAATTTGTCAAACTTTAAATCGCCCTGATTCTAAACACTGTGACCGCCTAGGTGGTCTTGTGGTAGCGTGTTCGCCTTGTGTGCTGGAGGTTGTAGGTTCGAATCCCAGCCGGGTCACACTAAAGTCTTTAAAATTGGTAATTGATGCTTCTCCGCTAAGCACGCGGCATTAAGGAGTAAGAACAAAGACTGGTCGGCTCGGAATCAGAATAATGTGTCCGGGTAAGGTGACACGCCTTCCTGCGGACTGTTCCGAAGGTATGATAAGATATGCATCTGATAATAAACAGCATGTGCCTGGACTTAGGAGCATGTTCAGTGATTTTGTGTAGCTATGTCTTAATTCATTTTTACCTTTCGAGAATTTAGTGCTTATTTCAGATCTTTTATTCTATGGTTTAAACTTCTACATACTTTTTTAATCTCGGGGGATTTACGGCTCAACCTTTTACATAAACACTTGTCATTCGTTTAAGTCATTATATTGTAATTTATAGACTTTTTTTCGGCTTTTTTTATCGTTTGGTTACTGTTCCTTTGATATATATTCAATTTATTCAAGTTTGATATAAACATTTTTATTTTTAATTTATAACAATATTTAATTGTATAAAGACAATTTATAAGTACAAAAAAAAAAAAAAAAAAAAAATGAGCAATAGCAAAACATGCAAAGGAAGAAAGAGAATATCATGGCCAACAAGAAAGAACAGACGAAAAGACAAGCAACCAGAGGCGGATTTAGGGGGTGGAGGGTGCCCTGGCCCATCCTTTTGTCGGAAAAATTTGGTTGATTATTTAGGGAATCACTGAAGAATGACTAAGCGGGCCCCCTCTTATGGCAGTCAGTGCCCCCCCCCCCCCCCCTTTATGAAAACTTCTGGATCCGCCACTGACAACAGTCCACATAAGACTTCAACACTCATTCTTATACAGGTAAAAACGATGAGTTAAATATTTTTTAACCTATAATATGAAATCAAACAGACCTAGAAAAATCCAATTGCACGTGTTCGCCATCTATTTATATTTGTATTTATGTTTATATCAGGTTATATGACCGTCGCCAGTCTTCGACGTTATTACCCATTACTCAGGTAAAAAACTTGATTTTTCTCTTTTTGTAAAATTTTAATTTGGTAGTTCAAAACTTTATATGAAAGTTTTCCATATTGCCTTACAGGATACAAATGGAGACTCAAAGGTGTCTAGCAGGGCTAGTATTGTCGATAATATTTATCTGACACTGAGCACCTCATACTTATTTTCAAACTTCGAGTTTGGTCTATCTTTAGTACTTTCGATATTACTGTAAGTTTTGGTTGATATAAAACTTCCTGAGAACAAAACGAAAAAATGCAGGACAATTATGA